TTAATGTGGAAATATTTTTCGAAAGAAAAAGCAGGCAAAAAAGCCAAGTGTTTGAAAGGTCCAAATAAATTATTAAGTTGTAAAGTTTTGTCATCCATTGGATTAACAAGACATTAACAACATGTTCATAGCATTAATATCAAGAAAAGAAACTTAAATGAGGATTAAATTGCTGGTTCAAGTAACTATGAAACAATCCCTGCAAAAGCAAGTAGGTCTCTCGCATCATTTTTTTTAAAGAAACAGTCTTTAGCAGAGATAGTGACCAGACTTGCGGCTGCTGATGATGGATTTTCAATTCACGGAATATGCAAAAGTGATTTTACTTGTCAACCATTAAGTGAAAAACAATATCATCTTCTAAAAGGTAAAAAAAAATGTGATAAAACTCATGAATATTGTGCTACAGCAAAAAATGAATTTATTGTTAAAATAAAATCACATAAATAAAAAGTGGAAAATTTAGTCTAACATTTGATGAATGGACAAATTTACGCAATCAAAAATATTTGAATATCAATAATCATTTCAATAAGTTATTTATTAATATAGGACTGGTTAAAATTCATGGATACTGTACAGTTGAAGTAACAATCGACCTAGTTAAAGAGAAACCAGAGTATGCAATTATCTTTTCAGATGTTGTTGCATCAACCACTGATGCTGCTGCAGTAATGATCAAATTTGGTAAATTATCTGGTTTTATTATGTTATAATCACGCATACACTTGGCTGTAATGGACATTATTTATAAAAGAAATGAAAATTCTAATGTTTGTCACGTTGATTCTTTAGAAAATGAATCTTGTTTTTCCAGTGAAAACTCTAGCAAATATGAAAATGATATTCTAAATGATTTTAAACCACAAATATGTGAAAGAGAAGATATAAATACGGCTTCACAAATGATTAGAAAAATAGTTAAATTTTTTAAACATTAGCCTAAAAGAAAATCCATTTTACAAGACTGTGTAAAAGTAGAGTACGGAATTGAACTCAATTTACCGTTAGATTGCCGGACCAAATGGAATAGCATTGTGAAATTTCAATGGTTGAAAGATTTTTAAAAGTGTTTTAAAAAATCTTTCAAAATCTTTAAAATGGACACAGTAAAAAAAGCATTAAATGAGTTGAACTCCCTAGAGGTATTTAACGATATTTATGTCTCAGTTTAAAGAAATGTTTCAAACGCCCTTCAACCAATTAAAATAGCTGCAGAAGCATTAGGTAAACGTGATGCAAATTTGCAAACAGCTGATGCTATTTTAAATTTTTTTTTGATTCCCTGCGTAACAACAATGATTTCAGAGGAGATGTTGCTAGCTCTGTCTCTTCATGTTAAAGAGCAAAGAAGTTAAGATCTTGTGACTTTGATTAAATACCTCCAAATGCGCAATTTACATTCAACTGCCACTCCTGAGCTTTTATCTTCATCTTCAAAATCAGCAACTACTTGTTATGTAAATGATTTTTTCTATAGATTATTCAGTAAAGATGTTGATATTGGAATTGAAAATGAATGCTCTAAAGAAAGTAATTGCTTAACAGTTACAAATATTAAAGACAGATTGGCAATAGCTATAAATGCAACATATAAACCTAAAAAGTGTGTTATAACTAAAGATTCTAACAAAGACCTCAAAAAAGAAATTCAAATGTATGAGAATACTGGAAATATTATAAATAATTTAAGAAAGCTGCTTGATGCCTTAACTTGCATACAGCCAACCTCAATAGAAAGCGAGAGTGTATTTTCATTGTCGTCTAATATTTGCTCAAAACAAAGATCATCACTTAGTGACTCATCTCTAGACTGCCTCACACAAGGGTTTAATCGCGTAATGAAAAATCCAGAAAAATATCTGGTCTTCAAATGTTTAGTTTATGCAAAACTGTGTTCTTTGTTTATAAGGAGCAAATCAACTTAAATTTGTTAGCGAAAAAGTTATACAAAATAAAATAGTAAACTTACGACTACAAAAGTAATTTTCTAGTAACTAACTACTTTATAAAAATAATAATATTATGATAGTGTTATTACTTTTACAACACACTTTTAAATTTTATAATTTATTCTTTGTTCAAACAACATAAATAATCCCAAATTTTAATTGAAGTAGAAAAGTATCTAGAAAAATAGAGTGGATATTCAAATAATATTTACAACACATTAAGGAACTAAATTTGCAACTCATTAAAGAACTTAAACAACTTTATAAAGACGTACTGTATTAAATGTTTATCATTGTGAAAAATGTTACTAATACTTTGTTAAAATGCGCGTTAATTTTAAAATCAACCAATAAAAACTTTTAATTTTTATTATAAAGTACGTTTTTATAAAATTGTTTAAGTACATTTATAAAAGTTCCTGAAGTTTTTAATAATATTTAAATATCCACATTTTTTTTTTCTAGATGCTTTTTTACTTTGAAATAAGTTTGGAATTACTAATGTTGTTTGAACAAAGAATAAACTTTAAAATTTATAAGTACTTTATAAAAGTAATAACACTATTATAGTTTTATTACTTTTATAATGCACTTAGTGACTTGAGTGTTATTACTTCTGTAGTCGTAAGTTTATTGTTTTGTTTATTATATTTTTTTGCTAACAAACTTATAATAATTTGCTCCTTGAAGACAAAGTACACAACTTTGCATAAACTAAAATTTTGAAGACCTGATATTTTTCCAGATTTTGCAAATCGCGATCGCTTAACTCAACCTTGTCACAATTTTAAAAAGTTATTTCCTAACTAAATAAGTTTAAAATATGTTTTGTTCAAGTAAAATTAATTTTTCTTAATATATGTATTACAAATTTTATTTATGCGAATTAGGGTGGAGCAATTATATATATATATATATATATATATATATATATATATATATATATATATATATATATATAATAAAATAAATTTATTTTCCTATATATATATATATATATATATATATATATATATATATATATATATATATATATACATACATACATACATACATACATACATACATACATACATACATACATACATACATACATACATACATACATATATATATATATACATATATATATATATATATATATATATATATATATATATATATATATATATATATATATATATACATATATATATATATATATATATATATATATATATAAATATATATATATATATATATATATATATATACATATATATATATATATATATATATATATATATATATATATATATATATATATATATATATATATATATATATATATATATATATATATATATATATATATATATATATATATATATATATATATATATATATACTCTTGCATGTTTCTTGCATGGCATCAAAAAATATTTCCCATAAACTGTAGTTTTAAAGAGCGCGTTAATATATATATATATATATATATATATATATATATATATATATATATATATATATATATATATATATATATAACTCTTGCATGTCTCTTGCGTGGCATCAAAAAATATTTCCCATAAACTGTAGTTTTAAAGAGCGCGTTAATAAACCAGACCAGAAAAAGTTTTAAAAATTAAATTTTTTTTTTTAATTGATAGACTGCCTGGCCAAACCAAACCCTCAGTCGATGTAGCAGCACTCTCTTGCGAGTCAGGCTATTTGTCAGTCGTTGTAGCAGCACTCTTTTGCGAGTCAGGCTATTTGTCAGTCGATGTAGCAGCATTCCCTTGCGAGTCAGGCTATTTGTCAGTCGATGTAGCAGCACTCCGTTGCGAGTCAGGCTATTTGTCAGTCGATGTAGCAGCACTCCGTTGCGAGTCAGGCTATTTGTCAGTCGATGTAGCAGAACTCCGTTGCGAGTCAGACTATAAGATAGTCGATGTAGCAACATTTACGCATGTTTTAAAAATGTTTTTTATTAAATCAATAACAAAAACACCACTAATTAAAAAAAACTTTCTAGTCGTTATAATTGCGGTTTTTTAAAAATTTTTAAAAAACAATTAATTTTAATGTACTTCCGCATAAATTAATTGCTTTGACATTTCGATGACAATCAAAAACAGCTTAAGAGACGAGGTAATTAAAATTGTAGTCGTAAGAGACTTTTTTTACATTAAAACGCTCTTTCGACTACACTATAAGGGTATATATATATATATATATATGTATATATAGGAAAATAAAATTTGCAAAATAGTTTACTATTCTTGCAAATAATAGATGTAAATTATACGTTAAAATATGGTTAGAATTCAATAAATACGGCTGCGTATAAACTTTTTTTAAATATATATATTTTTTCTTTAATATATAATTATTTCGACGTATTTATTGAATTCTAACCATATATATATATATATATATATATATATATATATATATATATATATATATATATATATATATATATATATATATATATATATATATATATATATATATATGTATATATAGGAAAATAAATTTTGCAAAATAGTTTACTATTCTTGCAAAAAATAGATGTAAATTATACGTTAAAATATGGTTAGAATTCAATAAAAACGGCTGCATATAAACTTTTTTTAAATATATATATTTTTTTCTTTAATATATAATTATTTCGATATTTTAGAGCACATAGTATTAATAACTTAACTTGTTAAAACTCAAATAAATTTAAATGTTACTTAAATTAATTTAAATATTAATTTAATTGACAAAAAATTTTACAAAAAATTCTTAAACTTCAGAAAAACAGTAAATGTACTCAAGCTGCTGAGAATCTTAAAGGTCAATATATGGTCATATATGTTACATATATGTTACATACATATCAAAGGTCATATATGTTTAATAAATCAATATATTAAACAATATATTATGTTTAATGATAAAATATAATATATATATATATATAATAAATATAATCATAAAATGTTTATAACAAATGCAAATAATATATAACCTAAATGTAAAAAAAATACTATACCTTTTAAAATGTATAAACTATCTTACCCAAAATGGCTTTCCTCCAAGTGCATGATTAGTCAGATGAAATAAAGCATATTGTAATAAAGCAAATATTCCTGCCAGTAATAGACTAAATCCAAATAATGTTCCAAACTGAGATGAAGGAAACCTAAATAAAATAAAAACAAAAAAAATTAAAAAGTATTTGAATTGATTTCTATAATCTAGGTAATAACTAGATGTCATCCACGTCATATGTTTAAAATCCGGATAACATTTTGCAAAAAAAAATTTTAATTGCTTTATATTTGTTTTAATTTAGCTTTGAACTAATGTTTTCTCAATTTTTCTGAAATTTTTCTTATTTTTTTGAATGAGAAATGACTAAAAAAGTTTAAAAACACATATATTGCAAAAAGTATATATTTAAATTATTATTTGAATTGGTGAAAAGGACGGAAGTCCAATAATGTAAACTTTTGGGAAACTAAAAAAACTGCATTTTCAACTGTAGTAAAAAAAATATTAACAAAAATTTATTACAGGGAAAAATGCAGTTTTTTTTAATTTCCCTTCCTTTTAACATTCACCAATTCAAATACTAATCTAACTATATACTTTTTGCAATTAATCAAAATACTATTATGAATAATTAATTAATTATTCATAATAGCAATTTACGATTCTCCTATGTTTGTGTTCATTCTCCTATGTTTGAAAACTCTACTTTTGTTAAGCATTTTGATTTAAATGACTTTAAACTTTTAATAATGCACAAATTATACATAAAGAATGGAACTTTTAGGTAACAGATTGTTAAAGGTAAGCGAGCTCATTCTTAGCACGTCTCCTAAAGCAATTAATATGGTTTTAGCTGATTCACACCTTGATCTTCAAACTAAAACAGCTATTTTAGAACTTTCACTCAGCATAAAGTGTTTGGAACTTATAAATTTAGAAAAGTCATAAGTTGTTCTCAGTGGTAATATCTGATTAAACAACTTGATTATAAAATATAAACGGTTTCTTTTAATTAAACTGGATTTAGTTTAGTGAGATTAAGGTTTGGTTATATACCATTTGTTATAAAGTTATTTATATTGTTTATCTTATAATAAGAACAAGGACTAAACGTTATGTAGTTTTACAGGTATTTAGAAAACATGGCAAATTAATATCTACAAATATTATTTTTAAAGAATTAAGCTGTCTTTAACAGAAAATTAAAAAATGTTAAAAGTGAATTGAAAGTTGCTCTACTTTTTTTTAAAAACATCTAAAAATTATTTTCATAAAGTAAACCAAATTCTACATAAAGTATTTACTCTTAGATTTTCCAGCTAAAACTTATTAGTGAAGTTTTAAAGTGACATGAAACAGCTTTTCACATAGTGGTATTGTTAATTCTTAGAAAAGTCAAAAAGAAAGAAAAATTTACAATAATACATATAAATATATGCAAAATATAATTTCAAATCAAAATCAAATGTCTTTAAAAAAATATTGCCCTGATTTTAAATAAAAAGTTGCAGCTCTTGATTTAAATCATGATTCTCATTCTAAGTCACTGGTTCAGTGTGATGTCAGAGTGCTCATCTAAATTAGCAATTTAAGTTGAAAAACCATAACTTCAAATTTGTAAACCAGGACAGACAGGTAGGTTTAGGAGGGAGGGGGAAGGGGTGTTTAAAAAAAGGTTTTGGGTGTGGTAGGGGTGAAGATGTTGCAAAATACTGAAATAAATGACCAGAAAGGGAGAAGGAGAGAGTAATAGTGTTTTTTTATGCTTCAAAAAATATGGTATCCTGTAATTAGGTATTCTCATGAATCTTTATATAAATAAGGAAGACCTTAACTGCTCCATCGCTCAGTGGCTAATGAAATCTAGACAAAGAAAAAATACCAAAATACTTTTTTATTATTTGTTAAGTCTAACAAAAGAAATACAAGAAAAAAATTATTCACTGTTATTATACCAGTCATACTTTTTAGATTTTCTAGCAAGTTATCATTTTTTTTTTTAATTTTCTGATAAAAAAGTAAGCATGTAATGCCAAAATTCAACTTGCAATACAGTAATACACATACCGTGGATTCCACCAAAACGCTTTGGTCATCTGACCAACGATTTTTATGTTTGGAAAAATATGCTCTACAAGTGCAGATGTTCCAGGCAGACACAAAATGTATTCAATAACTTTTACCAAATAAGGTATACCAACGCCTTTTTCTTGAAAATACTTAAATAATTGGACCCATTTGTCAACATAGGAGATTTGGATTTTCAATGAACTCCACTCTTCCTTTTTTGCTGTAAAAAATGTTTTTGCACATGACATTTCATCAAAAAGACTGTTAATAATAATTTTTTGTTGATCTGAACCATGAATATTATTTATAGCTTCAGCAGATTGTTCAATATCCTCAAAATCACAAAATTCCTTTAACTCAAACTATGTAGATATGAAATTATTTATATATTTTCACAACAAGAGCTCTTATTTCAATTGGAAGACCATCCTCAGCAGATTGTGCATGATATGTGCACCACAACCAATACCAACAACATAAACACCAAGTTCTTGTTTGAGTCTGATGTAAATTTTATTGTAACCTTTTTATTATGCAATTTACCAAAATTTGTGTTGCAGTTGTCAGAACAAAAAGCAGTTATTTTTCTATCAATGATGATGCTGCAATGTTGAAATTAACTTTACAGTCAAAACTTTAGATGTTTCATTGTCAACAGATTTAAAATCCAGAAATTTTACTTTGACACCTTCCAGTGGTAAAAAGTCTCACAACAAAAATACAAAAGTATTTGTGATACAAAAGTATCACAAGGTGATAGTTTTACTTCTTTTCTATTTGAGTGGTCATTAGAAACACTTGCAAAATGTGTCTTCTGTAAGTCATCATGTAACTTTTTTACAGAACATTTAAAATTATTACTGACATGGGTTCTTGCAGCACCAAATTTTGGTTCGAAAAACTTTGAGATTAGTTTTGAGCTACAGTCAGATGTTTTGAAGCACAAATCATGCATTGCTGTTTGAAAGACAAATGTAGTCTCTTTTGCTGCAAAAAATAAATGACCCTCATTGGGTTCATTATTTTTAAAAACCCTTTACTAGACAAAGAACATGCAGCAGAAAAAACCTCAGACTTGTGTTTAGCACACTTTAAGTGAGTTAAATTCTCTGCTCATCCACCATGCACAACAGAAAATTCTGCTAAACAATGGTGACACAACACTTTGTTGTCCTCATCACTAATTTTTTTTACAAAAGGGTAATCTATTTGAAGTTCATTTGTAAATTTGCAACTTCTTTTAAGCATATTGAACACAAAAAAAGTAGACAAAACATCTTATACACATAAACTTATCAAGTCAATGGTTAGTATTCTTTAGAATGACTCAAAATGAAACTTATTTTATGTTTTTTTTTTTTTTTAAACATCTTCGCTTCCAACAAAGCTGCAAGCAACCACTAATTAGTGTTGGAAGTTACTGGAAGAGAAAAGATGAAGATTGTAGAGCAAGATAACGATTGACAGACGACTTAAAAGATTGCAAATTATATGAATCAGGAAAGCAAGATGAAGGAAGCGAATTCCAAAGAACTGATGTTCGAGGAAAAAAACTAGACGAATAAGAGTTTTTGGAGCACTTAAAAACAGTTACAGAAAAAGGATAAGACTTAATTGAATGACAAGTAACACGAGAATGAATTTTTGTAGATGGCACAAGAGACGCTAGCTCTTTCGAGCAGTGCCCATCATAGTATTTGTAGAAAAGAGAAAGAGAAGCAACATTACGACGATGTGACAGAGGTTGAAGGTTGGCTGCAAGAGTAGGTCCAACTATGTTTACAATGCGTTTTTGCACCTTATCTAAAAGAGAAAGGGCATCATTAGAAGATCCGTCCTAGATATAGCAACAGTATTCCATACAAGGCCGGATTTGAGATTTATAGAGATAGAGAATAGAATCCAGAGTAAGAAAGTGACGAGCTCAATAAGGAGAAGCGACTTTAACAGATGCTAATTTTGCAACGGATTAGAAGTAAGAGTTAATCCTAGAAGATGAAGGGTAGGAGACTCATCGAGTACATTACCATTCATAAATATAGGAAGATCTAAATTATTGCAATAACGATTGGCTGAAAAATTGAGTTTTATCTGAATTAAAGTTCACCAGCCACTGTAAGCCCCATGCTGTAGCAGAAGTGAGATCCTTTTCAAGCTCAGATGCCCCCTGCAAGCAATCAGACGGAGTTGGTTTCTTATCGTGACAAGAATAAATGGTAGTATCATCAGCGAACAATGCCACCTTTGATGTGAGAAAATCTGGAAAATCGTTAATGCAAATTAAAAAGAGTATAGGGCCAAGGATTGAACCTTGAGGAACCCCTGAGGTTACAGAATAAGAAGAAGAGTGCTGTCCATCAAGGACAACTTTTATACTACAATTGGAAAGGAAGGATTCAATAATCTTAAAGATGTTTCCAGATACACCATAAGAAGAAAGCTTATGGAGAAGACCAGCATGCCAAACTTTATCAAACGCCTTAGAAATGTCAAGAGCGATGGCCTTAACCTCTCCACCTTTATCAAATGCGCAATAAAACCTATCGGTTATTATTGTTAGCAAATCAGCCATACAACGAGAAGATCGAAATCTATATTGATGATCAGAAAGTAGGTTATGAGATTCAAGATGAGAGATTAAGTGTTTGTTAATTAAAGATTCAAAAACCTTGCTTATGATAGGAAGAAGACTAATGGGACGGTAGTTAGACGAATCAGATCCCTCTCCAGAATTTTTAAAAATAGGGATAACAGATGCTGCTTTCCAGCAGGCTGGAAAATAAGACTCTGATAAGCACTTGTTAAATAGTTTTGAAGAGATAGATGACAGCTCCGGAGAACACTTCTGCAAGACTATAACAGGTATGTTGTCCGGGCCGCAAGCTGTAGAAGAGTCTAAGCAGGAAATCACTTTAGATACAAAAGCTGGAGTGATACGGATGTCGAGCAATGGATCAACCTGTTTGACGGCTATATCTGGTAGAACACAACTAGTGGAATCAAGAGATGATATTAATGAAAAGTTCTTTGCAAACAATTCAGCTTTGTCTTTAGATGAGGTGACAAAGTCTGATCCATACAAAAGAGGTGGAATTACAGACTTGCCCTTATTATTGATACTATTAAAGATTCTCCAGAAGTCATAAGAGCCTAATTTTTTTGGTGAAATACAAGATTTCATGATCTGAGAATAGTGGGCTTTGGCGTTAGACAAAACCTTTTTACAATGGTTCCTAGCAGTATTAAACAGACGTCTGTTTTCTGGAGAATTGTTTTGCTAATAGATATGGAAGTAATGGTTTCGATTAGCAATTGCAGCAGCACAATGTGAAGAAAACCATGGAGAAGAGTGAGGCTTGACCTGGAATTGTCAAGAAGGAATAAAGGATTCCATGCCAGCCTGAATCCACGAAGTTATGTAAGAAGCACATTTGTCAACAGGAAGACGAAATATTACTACCCAGGGGCCATCACGGAAAATCACGGAAAGAGTCCCAGTCAGCTTAATAGTAGTTGTAAGATGTACGATGATAGGGGGATTCTGATGATAAAGAAGAATTAGATAATAGTTTTAGAGAGACCAAACCATGATCAGAAGCACCTAAGGGTGAGTGTGGTGAAACTGAGCACTGACTAGGATTAGAAACAAGACATAAGTCAAGTAGAAAAGGTAAATGATTCGGGTTGTCTGGAAAGCGAGTTGGAAAGTTGACTATTTGAGTTAGGGATTGAAAAAGGCAAAAGTTGTGGACCTTAATGTCTGCGGAGTCACTGACACTAGAGCCAAGCCATTCAGTGTGATGAACATTAAAGTCACCAACAACAACAATATTGGCTGATGGATAAAGAATGAGGGCTTGGTCAATATAATCAGAAATAACATCAAGAAGAGTGCAGTCTTGAGATGAAGGAGAGCGATATAGAACAAAGAGAAAGGTGATAGAGTGAAGTGGTGCTAAACGAAAGCACATAAAAGAGTAGTCTGTGGATTCAAACCTAGTTTCCCAACAAATGGGTGAATTCTTACGAATGTAAATGCCTAGGCCAAGTATGTGACTATTGGAGTCTTTACGAATTAAAGAAAGATAACCATTAACACAAAGATCATATATATATATATATATATATATATATATATATATATATATATATATATATATATATATATATATATATATATATATATATATATATATATATATATATGATCACTATTATCTACAATATATATATGATCTACTATCTACAATATATATATAATCACTTTCAACACTAAGATCATATATATATATATATATATATATATATATATATATATATATATATATATATATATATATATATGTATATATGTATATATGTATATATGTATATATGTATATATGTATATATGTATATATGTATATATGTATATATGTATATATGTATATATGTATATATGTATATATGTATATATATATATAGCTTTGTATATTTTTATGTAAATATACAATATGTTTATTTATATATAAATATATTTAATCTATAGCTATATATATTTTGCTTATTATTATTTTATTTGCTTTAAATTTTTTTTTAAAGCACAAGTTGGAAAAAAAAAAAAAACACACACACTCACGCTATTCCAATAAATGTTGTATGATTTGCATATAAAAATCCTCGAACAATTGCACAAAGAATATATGATGGTATCTAAATTTGTAGTATTTTAATTTCATCCAATAAAAAAACAGCAAAAAATTGATGAGTTATAAAAACAGGTAAAACAAACAACGTACCTGTAATTTCATACTATTGATAAGATCAAATAAACAAAAAATCATTCCTAAGAAGTTAAGAACACAATAAGGAGCAATGGAAGAGCGTAAATCTGAGACAAGTATTTCCTCTTTTTTAAGAGACTGCTTTTCTGAATTCTTTAATCTTCTAAATGTTAAACCAATGAAAGGTGTAATAACAATTCCACAAAACTGAAGGTATCCAAATATATTGATGTATTTACTCACTACAAAATAAAACAATAAGGTATACAAAATAATAATAAGGTATCCAAATATGTTGAAGTATTTACTCACTACAAAATCAAACAAAAATATTCTCAAAATGTTTTATCAACATTCCATATTATTTTACAAGTAAAAATTTTTTCGTAAACACTAACCTTCCAACAAATTATTTTGTGTCAACCTTTCTAAATTTAATTGCAGAGACCCTATGTAGCATTGAAGTTTCAAATTTATGCTCAATAAACATATTAGTTCAATCATGTATAGTGGACTGAATATGGATCGAAAAACTGATGCTAAAAGTAATATTAAAATGATATGTATTACTACTTATTAGAAAAAAAGATCAACAACAAATTACTACATTAGACTTTGGGTAGATTACACTAATTTTTACACAAGTAAAAATCAAAATATAATAATATAAATATAAAAAAAAAAAAGATAAAACATATTTTTGTCAAATGACAATTTTCATTTTATTGCCATTATTTGTCAGAGAGCTAATATTTAACTCATGTTTACATTTTTACTTTTTTCTTCATAAGAAGAAGTTATTATGCTTTTCAGTGTTGCAGCTGCATTTTGAAAAAAATTAATGGCCCACTTTTTGATCATTGGCATTCTTTTGTAGTGTTGTTTTGAAGTAACTTATTTTTTTTTTATGTTTAACAATAAAGAGTTGGGTCATTCTATAACAAATAGACCAAAATTTTAGGATTTCAAAATGGACCATCTCAGATTTTGACGAAACTTGGTGTGTTGGTAGTGTGAACAAAAACATGTTTTGTTCACACTAATAGCTCTATACTAAAAAAAAAGTTTTAAAAAACCTTGTGTTTTTTTATTATATACAACTCTAGACTTCCTATAATAAAAAATTAAAATTGATTTTTAATATCACATTTTATCCATAATGGCTAATTTAAAAATTATTTTTACAAATAAAATGTTTATTTTTGATGGGTTAATATACAAAATTAGAAATCTAAGAAGTAAAAAGACATTTTTTTAGTTTTTGCACATGGTAGGCTTCCTAATTTTAGGAAAATAACTGATAAAATTTGATGATAATTAAGTAAGAAATTATGGATTTCTAAAAACAGCTCTGACTTAAAACCTTTTTTGGTTCATCAAATATGTAAATATATTTTAAATTTCTGATTTTTAAGAAAATAAAAAATTTAGTGACAAAAACATGTTTTGTTTATACTTTAATAGCTCTATATATAAAATTTATGACAAAACTTGAGAATTCAGTAAGAAATTATGGACTTCTAAAAATGGCTCTGGCTAAAACTTGAAAAATTGTGGCTTCATTTCAAACCACTGATAACCTAGAATCAACACTGGTTTAAATAATAACTTTTTTTCAAATGATTTAATAGATTTTATTACAGTGATTTTAGAGTGGGTACTCAATGCAGTAAAAACAACAAAACAGAGTAATTTAAATACTTTAATTAGTTTTAACAATCAGCTTGTTTAATTTTATCAATTGGTTACTGAAAATTTTGCCTTACGTGTTGTGTCTGATTTAATGTCTAATCCATGAAGTATATTTATGCGCAAACTATTAAACATGCAGATACAAAAGCAGTGACATTGAGTTTGTAAAGTTTAATAGTTAGTAGACTGTATAAAATATATACTTATTAGAAATTATTAAATGTATAAGTAACTTATTAGGAATTATTGAATGTAGATACAATAGTCTCTCGCTTAATTGTGCACCCAATTAGTTGCGCATTCCAGTTAATTGCGCATTTAGGCCCAGAATATTTGTGTTTAAATTTTTTACTGAGTTTTTGTTGAAAGTGTAATTAAATCATAAATATTTTGAGATAATAATTTAGCAGTATTAAATATCTGAAGATCTGAAGCACCTCCAACAGGAATACACCACATTGGTCTAAGATCACAAAGATTAGAAACCCAATTTTGACATTGAGGTAAATTTTAATAAACTCTAAACAAAATTATTTTATATTAACTAATAAGAGACTTTTTTTAACATGTTGTTTTTTACCATAAACTTGGATTTAGTCATACTGTTTCTTTACCGGATACATTCAAGAGTATTCCTCTGATTGGTAGAATTCATGAACTTGATTTTTTACTTTCTGACGGTTCTGCCATTATGCCATGCTTTAGTTTCTAATACTTTGCAGTTTTTATTATTCTTAGAAAAGTAAAAAAATAGTTTTGTGTATAATTAATGTATCAAAGTTTTTATGGAGAAACTAACATTTGGAATTTTATTTTTGGTTGCCATCTATGGAAAAAAAAATATAGATCTTACTTATCTTTATTTACAGCTTATCTTTCTTTTTAGCTAATTTTGTCTTTATCCCTCTCTTTTCTTTATTTCTTCTAGGCAAAAATATGAAAATTTTGAAAAGTAAAAATACAAAGGGACTATTTAAAACTTTTTAACTCAAGCCTAATTTAAGTTTAACTCAAATCTAATCATTTTTAGTACTAATTATGAAATTTGACTAATTATGACTTTTAGAAGAAAAAACTAATACTGATTATGAAATACTTGTAAAAGAAAAAAAGAAAAAACAATGAAAGAAATTATTGCTGCCCTATGCCAAACCCTCAGTTGGTGTATCAACACTCCATTGCAGCAGCAAGCAATAAGATAGTCTAATTATGTACTGAAGCAACTAGCAGCAAGCTATTTCAGTGTGATATCAGAGATGTCAACTAAACATGCATTCATAATTTTATATATATGTATATGTATATGTATATGTATATGTATATGTATATGTATATGTATATGTATATGTATATGTATATGTATATGTATATGTATATGTATATATATATATATATATATATATATATATATATATATATATATATATATATATATATATATATATATATATATATATATATATATATATATATATATATATATATATATATACCAGGTATACCGGTATGAAGTGAGCGTCAAGATACAAATGTCTCGATAGGGAACATTTGTTGTGAACGAGCCTTTATTTTTTTTTGTTTGTTTGCTATGACATCTGTGAAACATATTTAGTATACATCAAGTCATTGAACAGACAACATCATATTTTTTCATCGTGTTAAAAATGTCGAATTTTGTACCGGAAAGTGATGATTTGCGGAAAGCATTAATTTTTTGTATTCATTTGAAGAAAAGTGCTGCAGAGTCGCATCGAATGCTTGTCGAGGCATATGGTGATCATGCTCTATCAGAAGCAACATGCAAAAGATGGTTTCAACGGTTCAGAAATAATGATTTTGATGTGAGAAATGAAGAATGTGGAAGACCACCAAAAAAGTTTGAAGACGCCGAATTGCAAACGATATTGGATGGAGATGACACTTTGAATCAAAAGCAAATGGCAGAAATGTTAAATATTGCACAACTAACAATTTCTGACCGTTTAAAAGCTATGGGAAAGATCCAAAAGTGTGGAAAATGGGTGCCACATGAATTGAATGAAAGACAGATGGAAAACCAAAAAAACACTTGTGAAATTTTGCTTCGAAGACACGAAAGAAAATCGGTTTTGCATCGGATTGTTACTGGCGATGAAAAATGGATTTATTTTAAGAATCCTAAACGGAAAAAATCATGGGTTAATCCGGGACAACCATCAACATTGACTGCAAAACCAGATCGATTCGGCAAGAAGACAATGCTGTGTGTTTGGTGGGATCAGAAAGGTGTGGTGTTCCACGAGCTCCTAAAACCTGGTGAAACGGTCAATACTGATCGCTACCGACAACAAATGATCAATTTGAACCATGCATTGATCGAGAAACGACCAGAATGGGCCAGAAGACACGGCAAGGTAATTTTGCTCCATGACAATGCACCTGCACACAAAGCAAAACCGGTTCAGGATACAATCAAAACACTTGGCTGGGAGCTGCTACCCCACCCGCCGTATTCACCAGACTTGGCTCCTTCCGACTACCATTTGTTTTCATCGATGGGACACGCATTGGCTGAGCAGCACTTTGATTTCTACGAGGAGGTCGAAAATTGGGTGTCTGGTTGGTTTGCTTTAAAAAACGAACAATTTTATTGGCGTGGTATCCACAAATTGCCAGAAAGGTGGTCAAAATGTGTAGAAAACAATGGCCAATACTTTGAATAAAATGTTTTATACTTTCCCATTAATAATTAGTGTTTTATTTTCACAAAAAACGCTCATTTCATACCGGTATACCTGGTATATATATATATATATATATATATATATATATATATATATATATATATATATATATATATATATATATATATATATTGAGAGCTGATATAAAAAGCAAAGGAAAAGCAACTCGTTATTGAAATTTGATTTTCTGATACCTTTCTTGACACTTTTTTGGTTTTTCCGAAAGATTTTTATATTGTACGAAGACTTTAGTAACATTTTAAACAAGACCTTTTTCTTGTATCTAGGTTTTTTAAAGGGATTTTCTGAAAATATATTATTTTTCTTTTCATGTTGCATTAATTTTGATCTATAAAATAAATTTTATACATAATTTCACCAAAATAACTTGAAAAAATGTATGAAAAATAACTACATTTATTGAAGGATTCACTGTACGAACACTTTTGTAACCCTCTGTATATATATATATATATATATATATATATATATATATATATATATATATATATATATATATATATATATATATATATATATATATATATATATATATATATAAATATATATATATATATATATATATATATATATATATATATATATATATATATATATATATATATATATATATATATATATATATATATATATATATATATATATAAACTTTAAGACATCACTAAAAATTGCTAACAAAATGAAAAAGGAAATAAAAATAATGTAATTTTAAAATTCATTGCAACTTTTAAAATTTAATTGAATGCTAAAATATGATAAATAATGCAATATCATATTTTGCTTGGTTTGTTTTTACAATGCATAACTATCCATATTTTGAGGTTAACAAGTAAAAAGAATTTTGAACTAGCCATTCTGGTGATTGAAAGAAAGCTTAATTTTGAATAAAAAATTATATTTAAAATCATGTGATCAGTGTAAATAAAATTGTGCAAAGTGTTTAAATTTTATTGCATTTATAAATAATTTTACATTTGATTGTTTAATTAAAAAAAAAACGCATCCTAAATAATGACAGCAAATTAGAAGACAATAAAAGACTTCATAGATTGTTTAGTATCAGTTAATAGTCACTTGCCAAATTATTTTCTGAACTAGTGTATAACAGATTTTGTTATATACAAAAACATTAGAAATGAGACTGGAACACAAAACCTGTGTTGTTATAGATGCAACCTTATATTGTGAATATTATTATAAATAATATACTTTCTAGCATTTCTTTTCATATGAATTTGAAGACAATTTTTCTTGTTATTTTGTTTAAACTGGACTTCCAAAAGAGTAATTGAAAAGTTCACATTAGCAATAAAAACTTGACTAAACCTGGTGGGAAATGAGCTAGCGACTAGCTAGCTCTATAGCGATTTTCTAGCGATTTTTTTTTTCTTATTTTATTTTTTGCAAATGTCTTTAACATCTTTAAAAATTCGATTTTTAGTGTTGAGTCTATTATAACTATGAAAATAATTGAACTTTAAACATTGCGATTTTGTAGCAATGTGTCGCTAGCTACATATCGTAGCTTTGTAGCTAGCTACAAAATATCTACAAATCTATACCTGGTTGATAGCTACATATCAAAAATTTTTAGACAACGGTTTTATTACGATATGACGCTAGGTACAATAGCCAGTGGATCTTAAGCTTGTTAAGCTAGCTGTCCTCGTTGCCAAATCGCTGTCTTTATCTTTACAAAAATCGATAGCTTTTCACTAACTTAAAAAAGCTAGTGATCCTCGTGGCCAAATCGCTGTCTTTATCGTAACGATTATAGCTAGCTATTCGCTAGCCGACTTCCCACCGGGAACTTTATCTAAATAGCTGATCATTACCAAGTGCTGTAATGAACAAGTAAATAGAAAAAAAAGTAGGATGAGGAGCAAGACCTACTAAAAGCTGTATTTGTCAACAACAAAAAAAACATTATAAAAAAATAAGCCTCTTATTATCTTACGTGGAATATTTTGTGTATCTATCAAAATGCTACCATTTGCAGAAGATAATGTACTAACATCAAGTGTTAGATTTTCAGTTTTCTCCACAGAAAAATTGTATACTGTCTGTTGAGAGGAGGGTAACTGTTGAGATAAAGATATCTGTTGACACAAGGGTATCTGCTGTGATGAGGGTGTGTGTTGAGATGAGAGTATTTCTTGAGATGAGGTCATCTGCAGAGATGTGGGAACTTGTTGAGATAAAGGCACCAGCTGAGATAAAGGCACCTGCTGACATGAAGGCACCTGATGAGATGAGGATATTGATACATTTGATCCAGTTCTAAAATAAACCTTTTTATTTCTAAACTTTTGTACACATGTTGTTTAATTTTTAAAGATATTAAAAACAAATAAATATACTTTTATTGTAAGACATTAGTCTAATAATTTTTGATGACAATAAAATTAATAAAGGTATTACCTTTCAAATGCAGAATTAATTTTACTAGCATAAATTGTTTTCTTTGGAACTATACAGTCATTTATACTTGTTTTATAATAATGTTCTTCTTCAATTGACCATTTCTTTAATTTTATTTGAGAAGGGACCAGAAACACTGTTACAAATGTAATTAATAATAATGACAAACCACTGTAAATGTACAAAATAGTAGAAAACTTTACTCCAGTATCGTAAATCAACTACAAAAACAAAAAAGATTACACATTTAACCAAATAGTAATAGTAAAATTTAATTTATTCAAAATACTATGTGAAATACTTGTAAATCTACTTAAAAATAAAACTTAAGAAAAGACTGGTGATCAGGGTTGGTGTAAAATACGTATTTTTATTTGGTAATAATAGGCTACATTGGTGTTTTTGTGTTTATATAGTATTTGATTAAAAAAATTTTAAATATATATTTATATTTTTACTTGATAGAAATGTAGTAACTTGTAGTTCCATAGGCTAGATGGATTGGTGTATGGGAAAACTATGAGGTTCATTTTTTTTTTTTTTTTATTTTTTTTTTGTGAAAAATAACTTTTTTATTTTTAATTCTAAAATAATTTAAAACTTGTTTTTAAGTGATATTAGTTGAAAGACTTGTTTTCATTCACATTTTATTTCATTTCATTAACATTTTGTTTTCCAAGTTCTTTAATTGCTCATCAAATAGTTTCAGTAATCTGTCTTTATTTTAAGTTAAAAATCAAAATCAAAATTTTTCTTTTAATTGAGAAGTTATTTACCAGAATGAACAAAAATTAGCTAGTTAAATATTTAAGAAATGAATAAAGATAATTAAAATTTATCATAAACGTTTTTTTTTTTTTTTTTTTTTTTTTAAATTTACTCCTCAAAAAAATAATAAAAAATGATAAATAAAAACTGCTCAACTTTTGCTTAGTACAACAATTCATCACTGGTGATACACACAAGCTCTAAATCTTCCTAAACCAAAAATAAAGTTGATTATCATTGAAAAATATTTCTCTCATTCTAAAATCGCATAAAACAACTTTTCCAACAGGCTTGGGTAAAAATCACATTTTTCAAAAAGTGTTCAGAAATTTTGAAGTTCACATAAAAGGCAATGAGTCATCTTTCTTGGTACTTGATGAGTCATCTTTCTTTTGTCTTCTAGGATTAAATCTTGTGACGTCTGGGCACTGCTCAAAGGAGCTAGCGTATCTTGTGTTATCTATTAAAATTCATTTTTGTGTTACTGGTCATTCAATTAAGTCTCATCTTTTTACTTTGACTGTTTCTAAATGTTTTAAAAATCCTTATTTTTCTAGTTTTTTTTTCTTCAAACATCAGTTCTTTGGAATTGGCTTTCTTTATCTTATTTTCCTAATTCATATAATTTGCAATTTGTTAATTGATATCTTGCTTTATAAACTTCATTCTCTCCCAGTAACTTTCAGCTCTGTAAGTGGTTGCTTGCAGCCTCATTTGAAAGATATTTAAAAAAGAAATTCCTCTTTTACTGAAATAGAGAAAACAAAACAATAGAACATGACTATCAAAAACTAAAATCTAACCAGTTATGAAAATCATTTTTCCATGATCTTGTTTGGCCAGGCAGACAAAAGGCTTTCAAATTTTGTTTTATACAAGCTTTTCACTTTCCGTGCATTTATTTATTAATATACTCTTGTTGAAGTTTGTATTATTGATAACTCAGAAATGATTACATTAAATATAGTGATTAACATTATCTTATAAAAGTGCCTACTTTTTATATCAATGCCATCCAAAGCAAAGAAGCCTGCAAATGAAAACCATTAAATGAAAAATATTATACTCTCCCTATCTTCTAAACTACAAAAATAATTAGTAAATGAAAAAGAAAACTTCAATATTCATCAAATATTCAGTAAATAAAGCACAATATGAAGCAAAACGTTTAATTAAAAATAGATTATTCTGAAACATTTTCATGCATCGTTTCAATCTGAAAGCGCAATTATGACTTATAATGTCCATAAAAATGTTATCCAAAAAGTGCATATTTACATGCTCTAATAGAGTGTGAAATATATGATTCTCAACCACCCGATAATAAATAACCAAATATTGAATTATATTGGAAGTAAAAAAAAATCGTTATAAAGCCTTAAACAAAGTGGAAGAAACCTGAACATATTATTAAAGTATTGTCTTGTTAAAATGAGTTTTATTCAATCTGAATCTGTCTTTATATGAATCCCATGTGTTTGCATACACTATGACAATGATTTAAAAGTTAGCATTTTTATTTATTGACATTATTATAGTCACAAGTTTGGTGTAAGCTTTCAAAGTTTGGTGTAAATAGTTACACCAAACTTTCGAAACTTTTTTTACAATGATTTTAAAGAACAAATTTGAACTATGAAAAATATTTTGAAGAATGGTTATAAATTTTAATGAAAGATTTAAACTTTTTTTTACTTTTAAAATATCAAACTTTTTTGGTGTAACATTTGCATATGCTTCTCACAAATTAATTATAAACCAAAAGGTTTAACTTATATTAAAATGGTTTGGTATTTCACACTCTTAACAAATTAAGTCAATCATTGATTCATAATTATGTTTATGCAGAGGAAAAAGTTTAATGACATTAGTGAATTTTAAAAAGTTTTATTATTTTGACTTTGATCTTAATTTTAAATTTATTGAAAATTTTTAATTTTTTTTTACTACACTGAAACATAAAAAAAGACCAAAAAATCACCTTAAAAATAAGAAATACAACAGCTGAGGAGTCAAATCCTCCATTTAAACTGCACATAACAATTGCTCTTTTTCTCCATAATACAGTATTGCTAATCTAAAAAAAAACTTTATATTATAAAAAAAAAAAACATGCATAATGTATAACAACCATATTTATATGTATAACAACCATAATTAGAGCAATTAATTGTATTTCTGCAGCAAAAAATAGTGGTAATAGGAGTAGTGGATTGAACACATTTTTGTAATGTTCCTAACTTGATTCACTCTAGGCACCAGTCACAATGACTCACCTTTATAGCTTTTGTATTAGCTTATAGCTTAACTAATAAAAAATATAATGGAAAAAAATTCCAAATTGTTCTAAACAAAACAATTGATGCCATCAAAACTTAAAGTGGATTTTTTACACATTAAAACTTAGTTACCTTTAAACATTTTGAATAAATATTATGGAAGAGTTATGAAAAAATGCATGGAAATTATTAGTTTTAAAAAATGTTTTACAAAGAAACTATGAAATTATTATTTTTTTTGAAATTATGAAATTATTATTATTTATTTACTTGAAAAACCTAAAAAGCATTTTGAAGAGTTTTAAAAAATCCCTATAGCATCTCAGAAAAGTAACGACTTCTACTTTTCTTTAAAGGCAGATCCAGTCTTCTACCAACAGTATCATAATAATGTAATGCTACAAACTTGTAAATATGAATTCCTAGTTTCTAGGTTTGCCAGTAAATATGAATTCCTAGTTTCTAGGTTGCTTCTCTACAAATTGTATTGCAGACATTTAATTAAATTCTCAATTTAAAATAGCAATAATTAATTATAAATTGAAAATAAATAAAAAAGCAAAATCAAAAAAGAAAAATTTTATATTATAAACAAGACATTGTATATATTTAGATTTTAATATTAAAATCCAATTTGCATTGTGCATTATTATGCATAATGCAAATAAAACCAACAGTTTTGAAATTATGCATAGCATTAAAATCTAAAATAAGCAAAGTATTTAATGAAATTTGCACTTATAAGTATCGAAAGTTCAGTCAAAGTAGATGTTTTCCTACTAAATAAAATATTGAACGCTAGTTTTAATTTTTTATTATATTATTTTTTTGGTGATATATTTGTTGAATATTTGTTGTATATTTTTGTTCATTTTAAGTATTTATAAAAAAATTATTTTTTATTATTGTAAGTATTGTTTGGGTGCATTGTCTGTCTTATTTTTGTCATCGTATTAGTATACTTTTATATTTTCTTCTAATAATCTTTATTTTTGTTATGACAACTGTCAAAATATGCTTTGTTCAAAAAATGATTATTCTTTTTTCTAATGTACTTCATTTTTCCTTCAAGCGTTCACTGCTTGTGTGTGACCCTTTGGCAAATTTATATGTCAAATTTTTTAAATAAAATGTTTGATACTAGTTTTGATTTCTTATTATATTCATTTTACAAAAATAAATTAACAATATACTTGTCAGTATACTCTAATAGTCACATGCTTGGTTTGGACATATACTAAGGCATTAATTCACATCAGTTGAGCAATTAGGTTTGCATCTTTTACCCATTCTTTTATGTGCTCCCACTTAGCACCTCTTCACCCTTTTACTTTTCTCTTTGTTCTTTATTGCTTTCGTTCTTTTCAAGTTTGCACTTTTCTACACATTTTTTAGATTTTTTCACAATTCTCTTAGATGAAATTTCTGATCAAATTCACCTTTGCCTTTTCTCTTTATCCCTTTGTCAATATTGCTGTTACTGGTAACTTTATTGCTAATCAGTTTGATGATCAATAAAAATGCATGTGAATAAAGATGAACAATGATGATGCATTATGATGATGGCTTCGTTGTAACAACACTGACCATGCTTGCACTAAAACTCATAATTTGGGTATTTCTCAATCTCTTACAAATTGTTGTCTTACAAAGAGTCACAAAGTTACTATCTTAAAAATAGTTAACTTTGTAACTCATTTTCCAGACAATCCTAATCACTTACCTTTACTCTTTGATTTGTGAGTTGTCTCAGGCCCTAGCTTGTGTTTAGTATCGCCTTGTTCTCCTTTAGGTGGTTCCAATCATGCAATGATCTCTATAAACCTTTTATTTAATACTTTTACTTCAAACTCACCCTATCATTACACTATTTACTACTACCCTAATGCTGAATAGAATTATTCCAAGATTTCTTCTTGATGGTCCTTAAGCTGGTCTCTTTTTTCTCTGCTGATAAATGTACCTCCAACATGTCCTCCTGGATAAAGGCAGATATGGAAGCTTTTATTCCTTCTTCTCGGTTCCAGGTCAAACCTCATTCTGCTCCATGGTTTTCACCATCTTATGCAGCAGCTATATAATAGTAATCATTTTTTTTTCATCTTTCTACAAGAATTATTATGACAATATACAAATGTAAAAAGGTGCTGTCTGATGCTAAGCTTCATTATTTCTAGTTTACTAAATCCATATGTTTTTCAGAAGTTAGACTTTAGAGACTTTTGAAAAATTTTCAACAGTGTCAGTAACAGATGATTGAAAGACAAATCTTATTAGCATTCTGACCTCTTTAACTATCATCCGATCAGTCTTTTCACTATGATTAGCAAAGGTCTTTGAGTCTTTGATCAACAAATTTCTAACATCCCATCTTAAGTCTAACAACATACTATTTGACAATCAATATGGTTTTCGATCTTTTTGTTCTATAGCTGATGCACTGACTGCTGTAACTGAAATATTTTAATGTACATTAGATGGAGGCAGCGAGGGAAAGGCTATTGCTCTTAACATATCTGAAGCTTTCAATAAAGTTTAGCTTGCTGGTCTTCTCCATAAGCTTGCTTTATATTGTGTATCTGGAAACATTTTTTAAATTTTCAAATCATTTTTTTCTGAATGCTTTTAAAAAGTCATCCTCGAAAGGCCAACCCTTCATTTACAGTAATTCTGGGATACCTCACGATTCTATCCTTGGTCCTGTATTAAGCCACTATCAAGTTAAAGTCAACACTCTGCTCACTTTGAGAAATATTCTATTTATATTCAATAAAATTATTTGCAATTTAAAAAATTTCAAAACTTTGTCATTTTTTTGGGAAAAACAAAACAAACTACATTTTTATGGCTTCATTTGAGTATTTTTTTTATTAAGCATTTTTTTTGTTGGGAAAAGGATATTTTTTGCAATGTTTTAAGATATAAAATATTATATAAAATCTAATACGGATAAAGTATTTATATTAGCCATATATTTAGTTTCTTTTTCAGACTAAATTTAAATATTAAAAATGAATGCAAAATGTGAATCTGGGAAACCAACAAGAAAAAGAATACATAATATTATAACTGGACATGAAAGTGAAAGATATGCTGGGCAACCAAACAAACTACCTGTTAGTGACCTCCCAACATATAAAGATTATTCAATATGCCTATAAGGTCGAAAAAGAAATGATTACAACTAAAAAAATTGATTCTGCTGCTATAGTTTTAAAAGTAAGTGAAGAAATTTTAAAAATTTGGAAAAATGTGAATCCAAATCCAGGTTACATTTTTTTTTTGTATTATAATTTTTTACGTTTTTTAATATTTTAAATTCTATAAGCTATAAAACGAATTTTTTTTAATTTAAGGTTCCAGTTCTAGAACGAGAGTATTTAAAGGATCAGAAAGCTAAGAAAGGACCATTTTGAAACCTGGCAGATAGGCCAAATTGATAAAAAAGAGACAGCCAAGATCAAAAGAAAAATAAGTAACGAGAAAATTAATTTAACAAGTGACACGGCACTTTATTCAGATAATGATTGAATCAGTGAAACTTATAATGTGAAAATAGATAACAATGATGATTATAAAAATCAGAATCATGAGTTTTTTTCAAAACCACTGTGTAAAAAAAATTACACAGATTTAACTAACATTGCCAAAGCTGAAAGATTGGAAGTTAGTGACGCTGCAACATCTGCCATAACAACTGCTACCTTGATAGTCTATCAAATTATAATTCAGAATGACAGATTACAAATTATCACTGAAAAAAAGATATTTGACACTAAAAAGCGTGTTCTAACCATGATTAGTGCAAAACACAGTTTAGAAGTTTTTCATTTGAAAGTCATTGGAGTAGATAGTAAAAAAGACAAACAAACATTAGTACATATATTAGGATATGATCATTATGCAGAACCTATTATTAATAGATCAGTAAAGGATTCAACAATTCCCAGTCAGTGGAAAGGTCCGTAAAGCTTGTACCAGAGGCATCAAAGATAGTTTATGGTCAAGTAAAGAGACATAATTTTATTCTAACTAAAAACCAAAGCAGAGTAGAAAATAAATGCAATTCATCTAAAACTGATTACTTTATTCCCTTTTTATTGAGAAAATGTTTTTGTTTTTTATAATTTAATTTGGTTCACATACCTAAGTCCGAGGGTATACTTGACTTGACTACTGTCAAGAATTATTTTTTTTAAATGGCAAATCTCCTTTTAACCCTTAACTTCGAAATCACCCTTGTGCAGAAAAACATGTTGAACAGGGTAATTTCAGAAATAAACGGGGACCAAGGCAGCCAGAACCAAAATTTAAAAAAAAAAAATGTTTTAAAAGTTGGGGGGGGGGGGGGTAACACTCTCACCCCTCCGCCCACTGTTCTTATCCCAGTGTTTAAGATTATGTGGTAAATATTCGTTCTATAATATTCAAATATTCTAATGGAAAGAATATTTATATCAAAGTTTGTACTAAAGTATAATAAATATTGAGAATGCCATAAAAATGAATAATTCATTGAAAACAAGAAAATACTTAAAAACTTCTGAATCATTTCCCAAAATTGCCCTTAATCCAATCAGTCTGAAATTTTCAGGATTGTCTTAAAATCATATGTACAACAAATCCTAAAATGAGCCAATATGATCTGAGAAAAAAAGTATATTTTGTTAGTGGCTTATCTTGTATTGCTACTTAAATATACTTATGATCTTTTATTACTGATTCATACAAAATACAACTTTTTATGTCTTCTGTCAACCGTTCACTGTGTCCTTGCTCTTTAACATAATACTTTGTTTTCTAATAACCTCCATATGATTGGAAGGTTAAAAGATAAAGTTACATAACTTAATAGATTTTTCTAAAGTTAAAAAGTTTTTGGAGTAGAAACAGGAAACAACTAAAGTAACTGAAGAAAATTAAAATAACTTTAGTAACTGAAGGAACTGGAAACAACTGAAGAAACTGGAAACAACTAATGTAACTGAAGGTTGTTTCCAGTTTCTTCAATGTTTAACAGAAAAAAGACTTTAAATTATATAAATTAGCAAACAATGGATTCAAAAAAGAATTAAGAAATGTGTGTTCACAAGAATATTTACAAGCAAAAAGTTAGTTGAAAGAAACAAAAACATTTTAAGTAAATATTAGATCATAAAATTATTGATTTTACTTTTAAAAAATTACCAACATTTAAGTATAACACAATTTTTTGGTATTTTTATTTAATCTACTAAAAAAAAAATTCCTTGTTAAATAAATTATATTTTTTTAAAAACTTTAAGTTACATGCAATAAAAATAACTACCTGGTAAATTGAAAGTGAAAGAAATACTCCTCCAATGACAATTGCTATAAAGCTTGGAAACAAGTAATTTTCATTATCTAAAATTTAAGCAATTTAACAGTAAACCTTCAATCTTATTCATTTCTAGTTAATAAAAACTTCAAGTTAATTTTTACATTCTGTTAAAAATTATTACATCAAAATTTGTATCAACAATGTTCAAAAAATGATATTAAAACTAATGAAAAAATCATTATTAAAATATTAGAGGCTATTCTGCATGTATAAAGTACCTGTGTTTGCAACCTTATTGGACCACAAAAAAAATATTTGAAATTTTACTAATTTAAAATTTAATTTTACTTGTCAACAAAGCACTTTATATAACAATCTTATAAAAATATAAGGTTAAAAATATTTTTCTAACAATATATAATTGTTTATAGATAATTTTTATTATCATTATTATTATTATTATTATTATTATTATTATTATTATTATTATTATTATTATTATTATTATTATTATTAAGTGTTAATAGTTTATAAGTGTGGCATTAATTTGTATATTAATAATATTTAAACATTGTAATACCAATATATAAATTAATTCTATACTTAAGCAGAGATAGCTAAGAATGTTAGATTCAAAGTAAGTCTATTAAAAACTTTATCGACATTTAATCACTTGAAACAAATTAAAATGTGTGCACTTCAAAAGACATATTTAGAATTTTTACTCTATACGCTCAGAAAGGTAAACTACAAAATCTGTTTTTATTGAAAACTAGCTTAAGAGCTTTACTAAATAATGCCTGATAAACAAATTAATAAATAACACTCTAACTTTATCATGATAAAAATAGTTACTGTAAGAAGTTCTGAAACCACAAACATGTTAATTTTGACATGTTTTTAAGTTAAACTCAATGTCTAATTAATTTTGACTGCATAATAAGGTCTGAGGTCACTTTATTCTATGCAGCAATCACATATAATGACAAAATATGTTATATAGGTTTAAACTATGGGTTAAACTTGTAACAAATTTATAATTCACATATAAGCAACTAAAACTTAAATATAAAATCTAAACATAAAAAAAACAAGTGAAATAATTTCTTTATATGTATATGTATACCCCATATAATCTTTACTAAATTAGTATTCATCTATAAGTTTAAAAAAAAAATCTTTTAGCATTTAAAAATAATAGCCACAAAACATTTGCCCAATCAACTTTGTTCATCAAGGTTTGAGTTTCGGAATTAAAATGTTGATTGAGGGATGTAACCAGAATAAAATAGCCTACTCGACTGTAGTGGCCTTCTTTTTGATGATAAATAAAGAATTTTCTTAACCTAATTTAGTATAAGTAAAAAGTAGGCAATTTCAATAGAATTGTGTTCAATATTATTGCATATTACATATAATAAAAAAAAATTAGGATTTGTAAAGTACTTTTCAAGTTTTAGCAGTATTAGTCTAAATTAATTAAGTCTAATAAGTACTAATATTATTAGTACTTATACTAGATACTTATTATTATTATTATTAATATTATTAATAATTAGTACTTTATTGGCCATGCTTTATTTTTAATGACTTCAGCACATCTCATATCTATTTAACAAGTCATTTGGCAATGCAGAAATTTGTAATAGCAAACATTTTTTGAACAGAATATGAAATTGCAAGAAAGGAAATCAGTCCTTTAATAATTTTGAAATTGTTGATATGGGTTGCATTCTTCATTATACAAATGCATGCATTAATATTTAGGTAACAGAATGAAAATTAGTGCAGATAATGAACAGTAAAATAAGGAAACAGTAAAATTGAGCAGTAAAATTTTAGCAAAGATTAAACTCATAATAATAATTAATTTAGCGTATTTTTCGTTTATTTTTAAGTTTATATTCACAAAATGCAAAAAAAACTTTTTTTTTTTTTTTTTCAAATTCTAAATTTAGAAAAACTTTTCTATTGAGTACCTAGAGTGCCTTGAGTGTTCTAAGAGTTCTAGCCTAAAATATAAACCCTCAGTTGAACCCTCGACTGCAGCTATTCCAATTTAACATAAATTTAAATTGACTTTTAATTTTAAATTGATTTAAATGTTAGTGTAATTGACTTTTAATAAATTGACTTAAGTTCTCAAAAATTATGTGACGTAATTTATGGGCCATTATTTAGTGCTTTCAGAATATTTAGCACCAGACCTGCTGGAACAAAGTTTTTTGATTAGTAAGTAGACCCACTTTAGAAGAAAATTATTAAATTATTTAATAAATATATATTTAATAAAAAAAAGAAAATTATTAAATTATAAAATTATTAATTAATTTAGAAGAAAATTATTAGGAAAATTATCAAAACAGATGATAAATAACACTTACTTGGGTATCTTGGGTAACTTAAGTTTAAACAATTAACAGTGTTAATTGCTAAAGTATGTGACAATGGTGTGCATTATATTACAAAACCTTGTGGCACCCCAGAAGTAACTGCAAATAAGAGTGTTTTCCACAAAAAAACAATTTTAATAATGCTGTTAGAACAAATGAACTATGAACAAATGATTCAATGGCTTTAAAACCATGCCCACATATATCTCACCAAGAAAGCCTATGGAGAAGACCAGCAAGCCTCACAGTTTTATCATAGTTTTATTATTAATGTTAATAAGTTAGCAGTAGAACAAGAGAATTGAAATTTACATCAATCGTTATTAAATCGAAATCTGTATCGATTGTTAGAGAATCGAAATCCGGTTTACATGAAAAAAACTGGTTAACATAAAAAAAATTGGTTTACATGAAAAAAACTGTCAGGTTTTTGAGAAAACCTCAAATTTTTGTTTAAAAATTTTATTCTTATCATAAGCGGCTTATTTCAGTGGAGGATTAAGACTTCTTGGGGTTCGGGGCTATTTCTGTTTTTGGAAGTCTTTTTATAGGCAAGAGCCTAAAAACGACTTAAAAAAAAAAAAAAAAGATCCTCTAATATTTTTGGGGGCCCCTAAATTTGAGGGAGCCCGGAGCTATAATCCCCCCTAGCCTCCCTTTGATCCGGCACTGGCTAATATCATCAGTTTATGTTTGAATACAAGTTTAATTGAATTTTTATTGCTGTTGTTGGTGTGTTTCAAGATTTTAATTTCAAAAAAAGTTTCACTATGCCAAAACATTGTATGAATTCAACAGACAGTTTTTGTCATGTTTGTGGACGATTTTGCACAGTGGCTGAGAAGAAGAAAATTGTCAAATTTAACAAAGAAATATTACCATGTATACTTTGGATGTAAACTGGGAGACCAGGACAAAGCATGGGCGCCTTGTGTTGTTTGTAAACTTCGCGAAGTAACTCTTCGCAAGTGGTTGAAAGGTAAAGTGAAAAGTATGCCATTTGGCGTGAGATTTCGAATCATGTGCCGAACTGCTATTTTTGCATGATGAATGTTGTTGGATTCAACAAAAAGAGCATACACAAGATTCTATATCCAAATGTACCGTCAGCCCTGAGACCTGTAGAACACTGCGAAGACATTCCTGTCCCCGCTCCTCCTACTCAGCTGGATGATATTGAAAGTGGTAATAGCTCAAGTTCTGAAGACAGTAGTGGTATTCTTGATCCTGATTTTAATGCAGATGTCGCACGAAAACTTTTTACTCAGGAAGATCTTGATGATCTAGTTCAAGATCTTAACCTTCAAAAGTAATCAGCTGAACTACTTGCATCTCGTTTACAAAAACAAAACCTTCTCACTCCTGATACTAGCGTAAGTATGTAAAGATATCGTGAGACCGAATTGGTACAGTTTTTTTTAAGTAAGCAAGAAATGTTATATTGTAATAGTTTTCAAGGCCTTGTTACATCTATGGGAGTTGCTTACAATGCTAATCAGTAGAGATTGTTTATTGAATCATCAAAGCGCAGTATGAAGGCAGTTCTTCTATTTAATGGAAACAAAGTATCAAAGAGACGTATAAAAACATGAAACTGTTGCTCAATTCGTTGAACTATGACCAACACAAGTAGTTGATATGTGGAGATTTGAAGGTCATTGCCATCATATTAGGACTCCAAGGAGGGTATTCAAAATTTCCATGTCTTTTGTGCCTCTGAGATAGCAGAGCAGACTCTAAGCAGTATGTCAAAAAAAGTGTGGCCAGCGAGAGAAGGGTTCACTTCAGGAAGTTACAGTGTCCAGTTACAGCCTTTGGTAGAAGCACATCGAGTTTTCCTCCCACCACTCCATATAAAATTGGGATTTATGAAAGCTTTTGTCAAGAATATGGACCATACTGGCTCTGGATTGCAATATTTTTTAAACAAATTTCCACATTTGAATAAAGCAAAATTGACTACAGGTATTTTTGTTGAACCACAGATCAGAGAAGTAATGAATGATGAGGAGTTTTAGCGGACTTGTACATGACGCACCCCCTTAAGTTCAAAACACGTTTTATCGAAAATGATATTTTACTGACCTAGTAAAATTAATTAATTAAATTAATTAAAGTGTAACTACCTTAATTGATCAAAAGTGATGAATAGAATTAAATGTAAATGCTTTGACTAATAAATAGGAATTAACACAACAAAATATACATTCTTTAATAAACCGTAAGAATTGGGACAGTTTTGGTCACGATTATTAATGTTTCATAAGGGGTGCGTCGTGTACAAGTCCACCTTTTAATCAAACAATTACTAAAGTCTTGTTGAGAACATGGTAGCCAAATTTCAGGCTTTGGGTTGCCGCATGAGTGTCAAGTTGCACTTTTTGGACTCCCACGTTGACTATTTTCCTGAAAATCTTGATGCATACAGTAAAGAACAGGGTGAAAAGTTCAATATTTATTTTTCATGTCGTTTTTACAAAATTTTGCAGTGATTAGAGATAAGGAGCAACAAATCCAAAAAAATTTAGCCTTAAAAAAATTTCCTATTGATGGGTCTATTTTATTTAGTCTGATTGCTTAGTAGTCAAACTACTACTTTGAAACAATCTTATAAATACAAGCATTAACTTAAACTGTTAACTCATTGAAGTTATTAAACTACAATTAACTAAACAATCAAACAATTGTGTCACGCAACTTCAAATTCGGGGCTTTCCTCCTGTAGGGTTTTAAAAATGATTTAAAAATTGTCATTGTCAGCCATACCAACATATATTTTTAAAATTATATGCAAACTAAAGTTTAACAGGTTATTTATTACATTTTAAAAGACCAGATAATAAATCTTTAAAAATTTAAATGTCATTCTTAAGCGTCAGTAAACAATGACTTTGTATCGAAACTGAATATCCTCATATTATATTTACATAAATCAATTATTATATTTCAATAACCTTTAGTGGATACATACATTTTAAAGAACCTTGTAATAAACATTTAAAATTTTACAATCTTACCTTCAGTGATAAATGCCAATCCCAAGCAGCCGATAAGAAAGATAGGTCTATCAAATTAAAAAAACTTGTTTTATTATTTTTTTTATGACAGTATTTTAATTTTTTTTTTTTTAATTAAAAAAGGTGTTCTAAAATGACCTTACAGTTATGTCTCGCAAGTCAACTAAAACAATCGATCGTAATATCGTCATAATGTGAATTAAATGTATATTTTTTCGTTTTGGCAGGTAAAAGTTTCAGTTTTAAAAGTTTAAGAGACAGCTACATCACAGTGACACCTCGAACACTAAGAAATCAAGATTTATGCATGTCTTGCGTATGTCGTGGCGTTACATGTGTCATTAGCGCACGGGGCAAAAATAGATTTTCAGTCAGTAAATCTATTTTTTGTTCATAAAAGAAGTACTTTTGTTTAGAGATACTTTTAAGAAAGATATTTTAGAACTTAGTGCTTGTTCTATAGCAAAAGATATAGAGTTGTGTCGACTATTTATATAATTAAGAATGAGATGTGTGCAGGGCCGTTCCGAGAGGGTATCTAGCTCCCCTACAAAGTTTATTAGTCGCCAAATCGGACACGGCACACCCCTTTAAAATCTCTTTGGGACAGCCCTGAATGTGCGTCATATTCTAACTGAAAATCAACATATCGTTAATAGAAAACTGGTTTATTGAAAACTGGCAAAACAGCTCCGTAACCCTTTTGTGTTTTTAGTCTAAATCGACAGTTTCTCCACCGCGTAGAGCCAAGTATAGAACATACGAGAGATAATAATGTAATAGCAGTCTACTTCTTTAAAAAATCATAGCTGCCAAAACTAGTGTCACAAAACCCTTAAAGAGAAAATTGCGTTAGCTAAAAATTGACATTAAAATGAAAAAAAAAAACCCATTTTTTAGCCGTTATAAACCAAAAAATAATAATTGTAAAAGTTCATATCTTCCTTCACAGTAGTTCACTTGATATTTACATTTTTAAAATAACATATAATTGTTACTATTTTAATTACTGGTGTTACTTGTTACTATTTCAATAATATGTTACTTAAGTTAAGAGTTAAATTACGCGGAGCGGTTGTGTTCCGTAAGCCCATCAACAGCTAGCCGTTCTAGCTCGTGAGAAATTGCACGGAAGATGATGCGCTGTAGTAATTATTAAATGAAGCGATCGACACTGGTAGCACTGACTACTACGTTAGGTAATGCGTTCCATGGGTGAGCGACGCGGTTGTTGAAGGAATTATAGCGAACGAGGCAGTTGTTGCCCATTTCACGATGAAAGCGCTTGCGATGACCGTAGCTAGGTGGAATGTTAGGTGGATCTATATGCCAGCTAATTGAGTCAATACTGTTTTTGAATTTATACTTTTGAATGAGGTCGCCGCGTAAACGTCTATTTAAATAGAGAGGTGAAACCGAGTTTAATGCATCTTGTCTCGTAATTGAAGCGCTTTATTTCGTTCAGTACTTTGGTAACCCGATTCTGAACACGTTCTATGACATTTATGTCTTTTTCAAGATGCGGGCACCAGGCAGTAACTGCAAACTCGAGATGTGGGCGTATATAAGTGGTGTAAAGTTTTTTCCATATTTTGGTATCTCTGCTTATAAATATATTTTATAATTTTAAAAATATAAATATAAAATGTAAAACATAGTTTATATTTTTATGGTCATTACTTGTTACTGTTGATTACTGTTATTAACGAAATTGTTTATTTGGTAAATGTTTATTTCAGTAAGAAGATCCATTTAATCAACTTTCTCTTGCTTTTTGTATTGTATGTAATTTTATTTCAGATTTTTATATCAGGTTATTAATTAGTTCAAATTCTCAGTTATTATTAGTTGCTTTTGTCTTTTTAACCATCTCAAAGTTCGTTCTCAGTTTTAAAAAATTAACACTTTTTTTTATTCTTGTTTCAAATCGTCTCAAATTCTTGCATAAAGACGTAGATACTGAAAAATTGCTGTTTTAACCAATGTGTTCCGATCTGATCACTTATTTATTCAATAGAATTGAATTTCAGACAATTTAGTGATGGATTAAATTGACTGAAAACCAAACATAACAAACAAACTAGTAGGTAAACTAAAAACAGCAAATACATTTTCGCCAAAGAAATAAAATAAAGTATATTGTTTCACCATGATGACATCAAAAAACCAGCATTTAACTTTCACCAACAAAGGCTTGTTATTAATTTGAAAATTCATGGAAAATGTTGCTATAAGGTTTAAAAAAATAAGGAACTCATTTTGACACACTGTCCCCAACCATAAAGAAACATGATCTGATTGGAATCGTAGCTAGTTTGGATGGTAGTGGATGAAAACGCATGTCAACCAATGCAGTTAGTCGCAATATCATCATTAATGCGAAGATTCGTTTTGGCAGCTTAAAGATTTAGCTTTAAAAGTTCAAGAACATCACAACACCATAGTGCAGGCTTGGTCGGGAAGCGGGAGAGATCGCTCTCGATTGCTGGCCACGTAAATAATATTTAGTTGCGAAAAGCTGGCCAGATTTTTAGTCGTTTTGAGAACATTTTAAAAAGCAAAAAAAAAAAAGCGACGAAGATTAATTGGACCGATGAGAGACAATTACAAAAAAAATAAAATTAAGCGATGTTTTTTATATAAAGTAACAACTTACGATTGTTTAAAAGGGAAATAAATATTCTTTATTTAACTAAGTTTGCAAGTTTTAGTTTTACTTAAGCTAAATTATTTTATAAATAAAAAAGTTAATTTTTTTAATACCTATTTTATGCTTCGCGTAGTTTGAAAAGTTTAACATATTTGAAGCGATTCTTCTTAGTAAGATCATGGAAGTATAAAACAGATGAAAGTTCAACCGCTTTGAAAATCTTCGGGGCTATGCTTCTAACCTTTTGTTTCGCAAACAAAAGAAAACTACATCAAGACTGTACTTAAACGCTTAATTTTTATACGATGACGCAAATAGATACGTTTATTAAAATTTTAAAATAAGTACTTTGACGGTTCGCCAACAATATTCAATTGCACAAATTAAAAATGGCGACAACGAAACGACAACGAGCTATATTTTGTCAAACTTTATGTTAAATGAATGGAGTATATTTAGCATGAATGGAGTTATGATATAAACCCAACGAAACTATAATCTTTAGTTATTTACAGAACAATTTTTTTAATTTTTTAAAAATTTATTAAGTAGTCTATTTAATCAAATGTCGTGTTATGATTCAAAACAAGAAAATCTGCTTTTACTAATATACGCTTTTGAAATATAGTGATTCTAAATATTTACCAAGTTGTAATTAAGGTTCTGTTAGATAATTATAACAAGTAATGGTTAAAACAAAGTGGCATATCTATGGAATATACATTTTTTGATGTTTTGATAAAAATCATTTCAGTGAATTTTTGTTGTTTTTTTGTCCAGTGAAACTCTTTTTTTTTTATTGTCGGTTACGAGCATACTCCCGGGAAGACTTGAAATTGCATTGATGTTTACCGCCTGATGAACTTCCTTCTGTATTATACTTCCATGGTAAGATAAACAAATGAAATAATTAAATCATTGAATTACTATAGGAATTAAATAATCAAGATAGAAATCAACTAAAAAGGTTAAAAATACTAAATGACCAGGAAGCGAAACTGCTTCACAATATCGCTGATGATGTTTAGTGAGTTGGCTTTTTAATTTTAATTAGTATTTAAAGCAGAAAAAAGTATAACGAGTTTTAAGAATGGCAACTTAAGCGAAAATAATTAAAGTAAGTAAACCAATATCTAGAAACTTTTCTTTATATCTAATTATTTGCTATATATATTTGTGTTCTGTCGTGACCTCAGGCGCGATGCTTGTTCATCCGCGAGTTACTTTGATTGCGTTTTTTGTGTTTAGTAACCAGAAACTACTTATATGTTTGTTACATAATTAGTTTTATTAACTTTAACGATTATAACTTCATTGAAAACTCAATTATTTTTGCAAGTCTTTGTTTAAATCATAAAAATTGCTTTAAAAGATACATTACGATAAAAACAAATACACAAAATTACATTTACATAAAGAATACAATCTCTTTTAAAATAAAAAATAAGAATATACTAATAAAATCTATGATTTATAATAAACTTTTAAAATTTTAACAATTTAATCAATATATATTTAAAACATTTATTTTCGTAAACAAATAATATATATTCGTAAAACAATGCTAGAAATCTCACAACGTAACAATACAATTTCTAAAACATTTTAACAGAATACTCTAGAACTTTATTTCGCTTAATCAGCGTATTTTTTGAACCAATAGAATTAGTTTGTTCGTTAATTTGGCGGGTTTTTAGTGTTCGCAAATATTCTTTTTATTCTTTCGCACAAAGATGTATGTCCGTAAAACAAAAAATTTTTGTTTCGTACATAAACTTAAATCTTCTCAAAATGACTAAAAAACCTGGCCAGTTTTACGCAACTAAATATAATTTTTGTGGTCAGTATTCGAGAGCGATCGCTCCCGCTTCCCGACCAAGCCTGTAGTGACACCTCAAACAATCAGAAATCGAAATTTATGCATGCAGGCGCGGATGCAGAATTTTTTGATGTTAGAGATATATATGTTTGTATTTATATCAAATAAGGATGTCTTGTAATAAATTGCAATGATTGGAGCATGGGAACAATAAAGTCCTACAATTTTAGCTACACCTACCCCAAACGTGAGAGCAACAACTTAATAAAATATTTTTTTTACTATTCTCAACCAAGTTTATATTTATCGATAAGTTTTAAAACCCACACAATAATATCTTATCTTTCAACAATCGTGGCCGTCTTAAATTTGTAATCCCCTCAAATTGAGGGGGGGGGGGTCAAATTTTTTATGGTCATAGTTTTTGAACCCTAAAATATTTTTGTATGAATTTTAAAATTTATTGATGAATATAGATTTAGTTAAGAATAATATAAAAATTATCTTATCAACTTGTTGCTCTTACGTTTGGGGCAGGTAGAGCTAAAATTTTAAGGTTTTTTTGTTCCCTGGCTCCAATCATCGCAATTTTTTGCAAGGCATCCTTATTTGATATAAGTATAAAAATATAAATTTTTGGAGTTTGCTCCATGTCTGAAAGTTAGGTATCTTAAACTTCAAAAAATGCTTCATCCGCGCATGGCATGTCTTTTGCATGAAGCGGCGGAGCCATAATCATTAGCGCACGGGGCCAAGATAATTTGATCAAAACTTTTTCTGACAATTTCATGCAACTTAAATTGTATAATATATTTATATAATATAGGTATAATATAAAAATATATATAGTATAATAAGATTATTTATATATTTATATATTATATTATTTTATATCATTATTGTATCATTATTATTCTATTATTGTTATTATATATTTTATATTATATTATATTATTTATTATTTATATATACATAATAAATTATAAGTATAAATAATATATAATTTTTTTTTTTTTTCTTGAGTAAGATTCCTGTTGTAGGTACTATGGATATAAAACCATTGCTTTTGTTGTTGCATAGTACAATTTTTGCACTTAATTATTACAATTAGCATTTTATTCGTTATTACACAACAGTGTTTGTGATTACCCACGGTAAGTTCGGAACTCCTTCACGTACGTAGAGTAAATCTAAACACTAATGGTTTTATATTTGCTCTGAATTTTAATTTTACAATAAGATTTATAAAATTGCTTTTGAGGGTTTGTGACTAAATACCTGTTTGCAAATACCCCACTCTCCCCTTATTTAATATTTTTGATTCATTTTTGAAAAATCACTTTATATAGAAAGAAACCAACCCGTGAAAAAATTTCTCTTATTTAGTTCAGATAGATACCTAATTCACATAAAAATTCACATAAACTCGAAGTGGGGTTTCTGAACACTGTTTAACAGTAACAGTAAAACAGCTGTTTTTTTACGAAAAAATAAAAACAGCAAACAGCTGTTTTTTAAATGACTTTTTTTTTTTAATTGAAATGCGACAAAAATTAAAAATTGGAATTTTTTATGCATTTTGCATAACGATTAAATTTTATTTCAATATTATAATGAGTTTTAACTGCATAAAGTTTCATTCGAACCTGAAAGTGTTCGAATTTATTTTATTGGAACACTTTTAGATAAAAGTTGGACCATTTATATTTTAAAAATTAACAATTGCCAAAAGAAAAGTTTCTTTATTAACAATATAACACGTTTATTAAAGCAATTTGAAGTAATTAATGAAATGAAACTTTTACACAAAGATTTTAATGAAAAGCAAAAAAAAAAAAAAAATGATTGATACTATTAAGTTAAAAGTAGCCAATAAAGTGAAGTTTAGCATGACTGTCGATGAGATTACTACTTCAGGAGGAAAAAGATATTTTGGAGTTAATATTCATGATAAAATTGACAATATTATGTATAAAATAGGATTAATTTTGGGTTCATGCAGTAAGCTTGATATGGTTAAAATGAAACAACATCTAAATGTGTTTGGAATATCGATGGAAAAAGATTTGGTTGCATCTACTCAAGATGAAACATCTTTAAACAAGCAGTATATTCGAAATTTTGATGTTATTGGTAAATTTTGTTTTAATCATGGTATACAACTTGCAGTATGTGACACACTTTATACAAAAAAACATGATATTGAAGATTTAAGCGACCCCTGTGATGACGATAACAATGAAAATAATTATTTTGAAGAAGGCTACAATTTTGAATTTATAAATGATGATTGCGAAGATTAGATTGACTATAATATTTTACTTAAGAACTTACGCAAACTGATAAAATACATCAAACTGTCAAGTGTTCGAAATCAAGTTTTTCAATCAAAAGTCAAGACTCGGCAATGAAAACCCATTAAACTTGCTATTGAGAATCTTAGTAGAGAAGATGCAACCTTGTTGAGCGGTGACACAATTTTAGAATTTATGTTTGAGAAACTTTCTTTAGTTAACAGTGAAATTAGAAAAAAATTGATGGATAATTTGAGAATTAGAGTCGATGAACGGCTGAATACAGATGTCATGAATTTATTACACTGTCTAAAGAACTCTACAATAACCCCATCCAGAGATACGATTACTTTTGCAGGAAAGTTGACATCTCAACTTTTTGGTGTTCATAACGTTAATATTATTAATTTTAAGTGGTTAAAAGCTGAATTTACTCTTTTTAAGAATACAGGCCAGCGTATAGAAAACTTACAAAAGCTTTATGATGCATTATTAACAATTAAACCCATATTTACGGATGTTGAAAGAGTATTCTCCGTGTGTGCCAACTTTTGTATAAAAATAAGATTACGACTATCCGATAAGTCATTATCAGCTCTTGTATTTTTGAAATACTATTATAAAATGTAAAATAAACACAATTGGAAAAAATTTCACTCTTGCCTGTCTAATACAAGGCGGGTGGGTCGGGATAATAAAGCGAAAGATGAAGTGCGAATTTCAAAAACAGTAAAACAGCTGTTAACAGCTTTTTTTGAAAATTATAAAACAGTAAACAGCTGTTTTTTAAAAACCACTGTTTTTCAGAAACCCTAGTTGCAAGTAAAATAATTTAAAATAGTTAATTATGTAAATAATTGGTTCTATCAGAATAGATATAATTTTTTTTTTACTTTATCGTAAATAAAAATGCTAGTATTTAAGGCACTCTTTTAAACTTTTATAAAAATAAATTAGCTGAAAAATGACTTTATTGTGACATATTCGAAAAGTGGAGCGGAGATCTCTTTCTAGTAGTGATTATATATTTTTTAACATTCCGGCTTTATATAAATTTTTGGCTCAGTGATCGATAAAATAGTGTGATGCGGTTTTACTCTATATTTACACATCCAATATATATCATTCAAATGTATATTCTACCTTTAAACAACTAAAACAATCCAACATTTTTTTGTATTATAATAATTGATTTTGAATTAATAAATAAAGTTTAATAATAGGCCGGCAGCATTTCGATTTTACATTTCAGTTTACATTTTTACATTTCGATTTTACATTTCACAAAACTTATTCTGAGTTCTATAAAACTACTTAATATTGTTCTAATTTTATTTTTATTACTATTAACTATTTTTGTTTTATTATTTTAGATATTTTGAAGCTTTAAAGTAATAAAATTAATAGTAAAATTTGACGAAAAAATGCTTACCCCCCAACAATTCTTGTTACTCTTGGTCCGAATTTATCAAGAAATAATCCAGCTGGAAACTGCGAGATGCACATAAATGCCATGGTTATTGTAAAAACTAAGTTTAGTTTATCGTCTTGTTTTGAACAATTGAATATAGAATATACTGCGCTGCTACTCGTTATATTGTTTTTATCAGAAATATTTGAAGGTAAATTGTTATTATTTACTAAGGAAATTGTACACATGTCAAAAAAATAGTGCCTAGCTTTAAAAATTATTACAATGCTTGCCCAACCAAACACAACTCCTCCACACGCGAGAATTTCTAGCAATAATGCCACAAAAAGAATAATAGAGTAAAACCTTCCATTCCAGTTTAATTGCAACATCTTTATAAATCCTAATTCTAACATAATGAAAAATATTTATCAGGTTTATATATATATATATATATATATATATATATATATATATATATATATATATATATATATATATATATATATACACATATATATATATATATATATATATATATATATATCTATACACGTATGTATGTATAAATATATATATATATATATATATATATGTATGTATATATATATATATATATATATATGTATGTATGTATCTATGTATATATATATATATATATATATGTATGTATGTACGTATGTATGTATGTATGAATGTATGTATACAATAACTGATGAAAAAAGCTGAAACATAAGCTGAAAACAAAGGATGTTGTCTTTAAAAAATCTTCATAAAACTGTCTTTATTATTGTAAAATGTTTTCATGAATGCAGGAGAAAATTTCCAACTAATCAAGTTTTATTGACTTTGTTTAAACTAAAAAATAAAAAAATCATGATTCTTAGAACAACGAAATTATTTTTTTTTTTTTACAAAATTAAAAATTTTTGCATTTCAGGTATCGTTCACACATTACGCAGCGCAAATTTTTAGAGATTAATTTAAATTGAGAATAATTAGCATTATAAAAGCTAAACAAAAATTAATAGCGAGCTAAAAGTCAAAAAAACGGTTTCCGATTGAGGTTTTTTATTAAGGAAAAGATTGTGTCCTATTTACGCAGGAAGTAAAACAAAGTTAAATCATTTATGCAATTTTTGGCAAATTTTTTTCAGTTAAAAACTAATTTAAAATCATTAAAATAAAATAAAAAAAATCAAAAATTATCTAAGTATGTGAAATAAAATTTCATTTTTTTGAAAAATCGAAATAAAATAGTTAGCTTGTATATTTTAATTTAATATCTTAATAAATTAAAATAAATAAAAGAAAAAAAAAATGCAACGGTGGCAACTAAAAGATTAAATAAATAGTTTTTTTTTTTATGTACAAATTTTTTACAGATGAGTTCATATGATACAGATGTGAAATTGAGCCGATTGAATTTTTTTGCTTGTTAATAAGAATTTTAAATTAAATTTATTTCAGAAAAAATAAAATATTTAAGACTTGAAGTGGTTATCCTTAAGTTTACGCAGTAGAAACTTTTATAAAAGCAATAATGCATGAAACGGTATTTTATATTTTGATTTTGATATAAATTTAAAAGTTGTAAATTGCATTTTATAAATTATGTTATAAAAACATTTTAAATTGAACTTTGTTAAAAAAAAATAACCAAAATAGTTCGACGAACAGCTTTATAAAACTTAAAACGCTTAATAATAAAAGCTTTTCATCGGCCATAAAACAAAAGAGGTGAAACCCGCCTAAAATGTGAGTAGTTTTTCAAATTTCAACTTTGCATGTTTTTAAAGAGAAAATGCAAATAAGTGGTGGTGCTGCATCGACTGAGGGTTTGGGTTAAAGCAGCAATATGGTAATGACAAATTTTCCAACCATGTCATTGTCAATAACAACAAAAAACACATGTCAGTGTCAATAACACTTTTATTATCCTTTTTGACACCGGCTTAAAAAAATACAGTTAAACTAAACAATAAAAACAAATTAGACATAATCTTGTTGTCACAGCATTAACAGGTAACATTCATCATTATTTGGTCTAACATCTATACATGGCGACATATAAAAGATTGTCCATAAATTATGTACAGCTAAACTTAACCAACAGACAAAACAAAAAAAATCAGTTTTCCCTTGCAGAGTCTTTAATTAAACAAAAAAATTAAATTAGCTACTTAAGGTCAATGAAAACCGCAGCGCAAAAGAGTAAATGATCTCCTACTCCTATTTTTATTTAAAGTTCAGCGTTACGTAACTTATGGAAGATCCCTAAGTGACGCAAAGAAGTATACAACAAACACATACAAGCATACATTGTACATTTTCACTTACAGGTTAAGATATACTTAGGACATCTTAAAGTATTTGATTAAGGTGTTCTCGAATCAACCTGCTTAATTTTATTTCTAACTCGGGTTTTACCATACACACTAATTCTATACCATACATACTAATTCATAATCTGTATAAAAAAAAAATGCGTACTTACTATGTTTTTTTGTTATGTTGACTTATACATTTAAATAAATTAACAGGTATAAATAAATTCTATATTTAAAAAAAAAAAAAAAAAATACAACGTAGCATTACCAATGGCTTAAAAGACTAATTGTTAAATAGATTACAATTTAACAATTAGAGTGATTAGTTTTAATTGCAAACGATTCTCGACGTAATACATGACGTAGTAGATATTTGCATAAAATTTTAATATTTTAATGCTACCTTCAGAATCGTTAATAAAAATTCTCAAAATTTGTTTAAAATTGTCAATAAATAAATTATTAGAATTAAATGCTTTTGTTTTTAGATAATAATTCTTATTATTACCTTACTCTTTAACTCCCAAATACCAACTCTTTTTATATATTTGCAACACGTCTTAGTCATTATTTCCAAGCGGCCCGGAAAACGTGATTCACAGCACATACATAAAGTCATAACGGGTTGTTATGGTAGGAGACGTGATTCCCTTACACGCTTTCCCGATTTAAGCTGAGATTAGCTTTACGTCTTCGTGAGAAGCGCATTACCAAGCCTCCCTTTATAAACGCCATGCTTCCAATACCTGGCAGTTTTACGCTTCCTTTTATTTTCTTCCTTGTCGTCTTTCCTTTGCGTGTACGTACTCATGCATCCGATTTTTTCTCAGGTGGTCCTTACAATTTTTAACAAACTTGACTGACCGTATTTTACAACCTCATTTTGTTACTAACTTGATATTTTCTTCTTATAAGATTGCATATTTTACCCTTATTATTACGTTTGGTATCAATACTTAATTGTTGAATTGGTCATCTTGGCAACAAAGAGGTCGATTGTTCATAGAGCACTCCACAACCAACAACACTTCCTTCAATTCATTGAAACTTAACTTTACCAATTATTTTTGATGAGCTTTTTTTTATTATTCCAATTAATCTTTTGAATAAATCTAATCACCAAGGTCAAATATTAGGTTAAACCTCCATTTTTTATTTTATGTAGCAAGATAGTTTGAAAAATGTTTGTATTCTCAAAGCGTAAGTAACCACTTCCCTATTGCCATAAATGTTTAAGCATGATTGCTAATCATTATTTGAGGGCGTTCTTTTCCATACTCTTTAAAAATCCGTTAAAATTCTCTTGCTATAATCATGGCAAAGCTTTATATAGATAGTGTTTTACCGGCAAAGTTGACAGATGTAACCGCAAACGACTCAATTATTTTCAGTTGGTTCAGCCACTTTTTGCGTTTCAACCATATTTCATATGAACATTAAACCACAACTATAACAGTTCGCTCCGTGCTCTCGTCTTTAGTTTCAAAATAACTAAAGAAGAGAGCACGGAGAATGACGTAAATCTATTTTACCTATCCAATTAATGACTTCTGTTGAACTCAGTTTCTAAAAAACTGTGAGCTACTGCCCCTTTCTTTTAATAAGTACAACAGCGTTCTTAATTTAATTGTATACTTTAATAACGTTGTATTGACTAACGTCTTTCTAACACTATTCACCAACTTGCCCAGGTTATGTGCAGTCAAAAGCTCCAGTCTTGAATTATTAAGATCTTTTGATGCACTTTGTGCTTTTGCCAAAAGTAAGTTACTTGGTTTTGAAATTTGATGACTTATCACTGCGTAGATGCATACACAATTGGCCAACATATTTATTTCAAAAATCCATGGAGTTTTACATCAATATTCCAAACACAACAGCGGAGTAGCAACAGTTCTTTTGTTACTTAATACAACAGCAAATGGCAAATCATTCCTCTTGTCAAAGAGTATAACCAAACTCGAAACCTTGTCAAAAAAGCTTCCTGCACTGCAATTAGAGCATTTGAACACAAATTAGCTAGCGACAAATGGAACCCTAAGCGTCTATACGCTTATGTAAACAACAAACGCCCCGTCAGTAACCAGATAACTTCTTCGTGCTCATCCGCTGGGGAAATAAGTAGCATCCATAGCCAATATACTTTACAGCCAGTTCCAGTCAGTATTCACAATCGAATCATCAGATCAACAACTACCTCCCTTTGTTAAACGTACAACCGCTTTAATCTCCTCCCTCATCTTCAGCTATGATTCCGTTCACAAACACCTATCTGCTCTCAACGCCAATAAATCAACTGGAGGTGACGGTATCAGTCCATTTGTGCATAAAGCATGCGCTGATGCGGCGACTATCCCGCTTGCCATCATTTTTCAGAAATCGATGGATCAAGGTGTAGTCCCAAAAGCTTGTCTCTCAGCAAACGTGACGCCACTGTTCAAAAAAGGCTCCAGACTCGACCTAGAAAACTATAGGCCTATCTCCATCACCTCAGTACCATGCAAAATAATGAAAAAAATTGTTAAAGAAAAGATCATGCAGCACCTTGTAGCTCATTAACTTATTGCCGATTGCCAGCACGGCTTCGTCAATAAAAAAGCCTGCGTCACGAATCTGCTTGAGGCCATGGACTTTCTGACCTACAACGTTTCTCGCAAGCTTTCAGTAGATGTTTTTTTTCTTGACTTCGCCAAAGCCTTCGATAAAGTCCCTCACAGAAGATTACTTCAAAAACTTGAATCCTACGGAATCGAAGGTAACGTTCATAACTGGATAAAAGCTTTCCTCTCAAATAAATCACAGCGTGTCATATTAGGTAATACGTCATTCACCTGGGTAAAGTTTACCAGTGGCGTTCCGTAAGGTTCAGTGCTAGGTTTACGCTGTTCATAATATTTATTAATGACTTACCCGAACACATCAGTAGCGAAAACTTATGTAAAATGTATGCAGACGATACTAAAATCTTGAGTGTCGTCAAAACCACTGAAGACAAAACTCGTCTGCAATCCGATATAGATAGCGTTGTTACCTGGACTCAAACCTGACGCTATCGGTAGTACGACGCTAACGGTAGCGT